GCCGAGCCGGCGCCTCTCGGCACCTCCTCGGCCTTCTCTGAGGTAGGTGGTGGGGGGTGCCGGCTGCTCTCAGCCGTCTCTGCTGGATCCTGCTGGGCATCCCCCTCGCCCCGGTCACCCTTCGACTTCAGGGCCTTGAGGAGCTTCAGGCTCCTCTCATACTCCAGGAGCTGGCCCAGGAAGTTGAAGTTGGGCGAGATGGACGGGCGACGGTCCTTAACGAACCTGCCGAGAGGCACAGACAGCCCCGGTTGGTGCTTGGTCCCAGTCACCCCTACTCTCTCAGCCTCTTTGGCGGGAGGAGGCATCATCCTTGACCTTCTGACCAGACCTCCAAAGAAAGGGGTCTTGGAGAACCATGAGGCCTCAGGATGCCCAAGGGGTAGAGCTGGAAGTACCTCCCCCCTCCATTTTATTGCTCCCAACCGTTCCTCATTGCGTGCACTTTATGAAGGAAGGTTTGGTTTGGTTTCACTGGGTCTCAGACAAGGCAAGACAGAGCTTCCAGGAGCTCCCCCACTCTCCTTCTGGGCTCAGTCTGCTTTCCTTCCCTGGAGTGAAGCATACTGGCGTAACCACACCCTGCCCCCGTGGGAAAACTCACCTGTAAGCATCATCTGACGACATACCCATGGTCTTCATGATGTAGGCAATGGCGATGGTGGCCGACCGGGAGATGCCAGCCAAGCAGTGCACAATCACCTGGCAGCTCGACACCTTGGCCTTGTCTGGAGCACGGTAGAGGAAACAGAGAGAAAAGCATCGATGCGGTCAGAGATGGTGAGCAAATGACTCTAGCCTCCCCCCCCAGCCCTCAACCCCTTTGTGTGGAAGGACAACGGTTGCTGGGGGAAAGACCGTGGACAACAGAAGAACGAATTCAAGTTTTGAAGGCTGAGAACGGGAGGGTTTGCAGCCATTGTAACAAAAGCTCACCAATGAATTCAATGGACTTGTCCAGCCAGGGAAGCAGCTTCTCACAGTAGTTGTCATTGACAGGAATGCGCATGAAGTGACTGTCACAGATGAAGTCTGGCTTGGGACAGGAGTTGCTGGCATTGAGGACATAGCTTATCCCATTCTGTGTCATCAAGTCCTGGTGGGAAAGAAGCAATTAAATGATGGGCTGAGCTCAGCCATCACTGAGTGCTGAAGATCTGCCTTGCCATGCACTCCCTGCCTTTTCCCGTCCCAGTATTTTCTCTTGTGGGTCTCCCACTGCTGCCTTGGCGTAGCTGACGGCAGTACTGCAAAGACCAGCTGAGGAGGTTGTGTCAACTTAGATGACCCAGGCTTGACCCTCAAGAGATCTTTACGTTGGTCCTAGTAAAAGTAAGCAAGACCAAAGACACTTGGAATGGTCTTTGGGGGAAAACCCAAGAACCCCAGTATGAGAGGACCAGGAAAGCACAAAGAAAATCAGTGAAAACTCTGGCTGAAAGCTTTGAAAATATCAGTGGAGGGAGAAAGGAGGCATCTCACTACCAGATTGGGGTGACTTATTGGTAGAACCCTATGTTAACCGATGTCAACCCATGTCTTTGCTCCCACATCCCTCAAACGCATCAGGAGTTCTCACAGATTTGTTAGTTGTCCACTGTTCTTCACTGTGAACGTACGCACTAATGCTGGGACATAAGCAGGTGCCGAGGGGAACCATCTCTTCCCTCTTTCTGACACTGGAGTGAAGCTGAACATGTTTGCTGTGGCTTTTCTGCTTTGGCTACTCAATGGCCACCATCCCTGCCCATATTTCTGACTCAATAAAATGTGATGGAATGAGGGAGACCTTAGGTAAATAGGACCAGATGAAAAAAATGCAATTAGGGGATGGTGTTCGGCCCATGGGCCATACATCAGGGAACTGGCTTGCTGAGTAGGTATATCCACACCAACCTCCATTCTTTCCCTTCCAGGGCTATGGCCAGCTTCACCTCTATGTGGTGCTGGTATCAATTTTAT